TTAAACGTAATTATCTCAGACTTTCTGTCTCCTTAGCCAAATTATTTGTAAGTAGTTATATATATATATATATATATATATATATATATATATATATATATATATATATATATATATATATATATATATATATATATATATATATATATATATATATATATATATATATATATATATATATAGTTACATATAGTTTATATATATAGTTCATAGAGTTATTTATTTAGTTTATCTTTAGTTATACGGTTATTACCCTTGTACATTCTACAGTTTTCTTTCAGCTTATCAAAGGTAGACTGTAAGAGATCCCTTTGTGAGATAAGTACGTCATTCTATATTAAATCTTTTGATGTATTCCGTATGAATTATGTACAGTAAATATTTTACAATACAATACAATGATTTGTAAGTATACGTATTCTCTCATTTAGTTTGACGCCATTGGCTTGAGCGAAGCAAGTTTGTTAGTACGAACACGTCTCATATTTCTAACAAGAGGGCTGATTGTAGCATGCATTTGTCAGTATCAGCTGAACGCAGCGACTGGACGAGAGATTGATGCCGTGTATCAATATAGTATTTCTTTATTCTAAACCAACTCGTTCGTATATTGCGATTTATAAAACTCCAATGTAATGAGGATATTTTATCTCATGGCATTTGTTATTGTCGATTTTTGGGGGGCTTTCCCCGTGAACTGATTGATGGTTCGACTGGTTTGGCCGATGGTTATTTTGTTCGGTCAAAATTTATTTTCTGAACTTAAAAAAATCACGATTTTGAAAAAAATATTACCCTTTCAATTGACTTCAAAAAGAAGTTTTTTTTGTTTGTTACCTCATAACTCCGTCAATTGTAAACTGATTTAAAAAATTCTTTTTTACCTAAAAAGGTATACTTAAAGATTAGTTTCATAAAAAGAAATATCAAAAACGGTTCAATAAATTAGTTTCTAAATCAAAGTAACTGGGTTTTACCACAACTGAATTTGGATTTCTTCGCGGAACACTATTTAAGTATTTAAATGCATGAAAAATTGAAAATCACGATTCCTGCTTCGTATAGTTTCGATTTGCCTAAAATTATGTTTTTTTTTTGTTTTTTTTTTTATACAACTTAGAATGGCAAATAAGCTGACGGCCTACCTGATGGAAAGTGGTAACCGTCGCCTATAGACATGAGCAGTACCATAGACATAACAGAGTATACTGTTTCGCCCATTATACCCCCCATGCGTTGCCATTCCTGAGGACTCAGGCGTTATCCTTCTGTACCCTGTAAATTCACGCCAGAATTATAAATATTGTAGAATTATAAACAAATTTTCAAACCGAAACTCTCATGTTACTAGGAGATACTTAAACCGTTTTCTTGCAAAGACTAGACTTTATTTAATCAAGTATTTACCAATTTAACTACAAAGAAATACAAGCGGGGAATCCTTCTGTAAGAATTCTACTACGTGTAGTATCAACAAGATGCCTGCCTGTGCTTTTGAAGAAAATATTGCGCGTTGCCATGGCTACGTGGGGATGAGGTCGAGTCGAGTGTCACTACAACGTCTTGCCGCTCATAAATGTCTGTCTCAAAGTTAGTTTTGAATTTTTCAACATGTATAATTCTTCAGGATAGAAAGGTCATTGCTCGTAGTTTTCATTTTTTTTATGCTACATAGAATTTTACGAGTGTCTAGTGTCCGAGTATCTAGTGTCTGAGTGTCAAGTGTCTGAGTGACTGAGTATCTGAGAGTCTGAGTGTCTGAGTGTCTGAGTGTCTGAGTGTCTGAGTGTCTGAGTGTCTGAGAGTCTGAGTGTCTGAATGTCTGAGTGTCAAGTGTCTGAGTGTCTGAGTGTCTGAGTGTTTGAGAGTCTGAGTGTCTAAGAGTCTGAGTGTCTGAATGTCTGAATGTCTGAATGTCTGAGTGTCTGAGTGTCTGAGTGTCTTTCAACATGTATAATTCTTCAGGATAGAAAGGTCATTGCTCGTAGTTTTCATTTTTTTTATGCTACATAGAATTTTACGAGTGTCTAGTGTCCGAGTATCTAGTGTCTGAGTGTCAAGTGTCTGAGTGTCTGAGTATCTGAGAGTCTGAGTGTCTGAGTGTCTGAGTGTCTGAGTGTCTGAGAGTCTGAGTGTCTGAGTGTCGTCTGAGTGTCTAGTGTCTGAGTGTCCAGTGTACGAGTGTCTGAGTATCTGAGTGTCTAGTATCAGAGTGTCTGAGTGTCTAGTGTCCGAGTGTCCAGTGTCTAGTGTCTGAGTGTCCAGTGTACGAGTGTCTAGTGTCCGAGTGTCTAGTGTCTGAGTGTCAAGTGTCTGAGTGTCAAGTATCTGAGTGTCAAGTGTCTGAGTGTTTGAGTGTCTGAGTGTCTGAGTGTCTGAGAGTCTGAGTGTCTGAGAGTCTGAGTGTCTGAATGTCTGAGTGTCAAGTGTCTGAGTGTCTGAATGTCAAGTGTCTGAGTGTCTGAGAGTCTGAGTGTCTGAATGTCTGAATGTCTGAATGTCTGAATGTCTGAATGTCTGAGTGTCTGAGTGTCTGAAAGTCTGAGTGTCTGAGTGTCAAGTGTCTGAGAGTCTGAGTGTCTGAGTGTTTAGTTACTGAGTGTCCAGTGTACGAGTGTCTAGTGTCCGAGTGTCTAGTGTCTGAGTGTCTGAATGTCTGAATGTCTGAGTGTCTGAGTGTCTGAAAGTCTGAGTGTCTGAGTGTCTGAGTGTCTGAAAGTCTGAGTGTCTGAGTATCAAGTGTCTGAGTGTCTGAGAGTCTGAGTGTCTGAGTGTCTGAGTGTCTGAGTGTCTGAGTGTCTGAGAGTCTGAGTGTCTGAGTGTCTGAGTGTCTAGTGTCTGAGTGTCCAGTGTACGAGTGTCTAGTGTCCGAGTGTCTAGTGTCTGAGAGTCTGAGTGTCTGAATGTCTGAGTGTCAAGTGTCAAGTGTCTGAGTGTCTGAGTGTCTGAGAGTCTGAGTGTCTGAGTGTCAAATGTCTGAGTGTCTGAGTGTCTGAGAGTCTGAGTGTCAAGTGTCTGAGTGTCAAGTGTCTGAGTGTCATGTGTCTGAGTGTCAAGTGTCTGAGTGTCTAGTGTCTGAGTGTCTAGTGTCTGAGTGTCCAGTGTCTAGTGTCTACACTAGACACTGGACATAGATCTACTCGGACACTAGACACTCGTACATTAGACACTCAGACACTCAGACACTCAGACACTCAGACACTCAGACACTCAGACACTCAGACACTCAGACACTCAGACACTCAGACACTTGACACTCAGACACTAGACACTCAGACACTCAGACACTCAGACTCTCAGACACTCAGACACTCAGACACTCAGACTCTCAGACACTCAGACTCTCAGACACTCAGACTCTCAGACACTCAGACTCTCAGACACTCAGACACTGGACACTCAGACACTAGACTCTCGGACACTGGACACTCAGACACTAGACACTCAGACATTAGACACTCAGACACTAGACACTGGACACTCAGACATTAGACACTCGGACACTAGACTCTCAGACACTAGACACTCGGACACTCAAACATTAGACACTCAGACACTAGTTTAGTAGTCTAGTGTCCCCTAGTGTCCACTAGTCTAGTAGTAGTAGTCTAGTGTCCGATTGTCTACTGTCTGAGTGTCTAGTGTATGAGTGTACACTGTGTAGTGTCCGAGTGTCTAATGTCTGAGTGTCTGAGAGTCTAGTGTCTGAGTGTCTAGTGTCATCATCAAATTAAAGGTCAAGGATGATTTGTCATCATCAAATCATCCTTGGACCTTTCAGACGTAGTGTAAAGAAGCACTTAAAAAGCTGGCATAGTACAGCCAATCATTGAGAGTAGTAGTTCTCTCGTCAGTTGATCGTATTCATGAACATGTCATGCTGTAGTGTAAAAAAAAATGGGTTAATTACCCACTGTTGGTAGCGCTGATATTCTGACAGGTCCCATGGTGGCGCCATGGATGTGGTAACAGCGACTTAATATTTACAAACACGCACAAATCATAGAATAAGAGGTGCTACCATGAAATGTTTTCCGAAATTTCAGGACCGAACGAAACACAAATTTGATGTTAAAATTACATTAATATATAATGTTTAAAAATATGAAAATATCATCCCTTTGGGCTTTTATAGTAAGATTTATAACAAACGAAATGTTATACTCCATTTACAGAACAGATTTCGGTATGAACGAAAACACGAAAATGAGTCTGAAAATTCGGAATTTCATTTCATGGTAGACCACCAGGTACGTGAAAATAAAATTAAAAGAAATACAAGAAGTAAATGAAAACAATACAGTCTTTGTATTATAAACAAAATCTTGTTATTATTGTATCAAGTCAGAAATTGTTAAGAGCCTGGTAGACTGGCTGCTATACAAGCAAGAAGCTTCATCCATTGGTGAAGTTGCGAGCACAGCTGCCACAAACGTATTCAATTAATTCGAACTTGCTGTACTGTTGCAACTTGTGCAGCTTAAACAATTTTCCGGAGCGATTATAGTTTTTACAGCAAACTCTTGTTAAACGACAAACCGGGAGAAGGCGGGGATTTAGGGCTTCCGCGAGATCTGCTTGCTTTATATAACTGTACAAAAAGTGTCTGATTTGACGTTAACGAAGAATGATTACAATGTATTTTTTTATTTTATTTTTAAAACATATTTTTAATGGCATTTTAGTGTGCATAATCGTTTTATGCTGGCAGGTCACTTTATAAATAGTACATTCATTAATTAATGAATTAATGAGGTTACAGTGTATTATTTTTGACCGTTTTTCCATTTAAAAATATAAAAAGACAGCGCAGTTAAGTACTCACTGAGCAAAATTAAATAGACGCACGGTTTAGCAGGGATAGATAGATAGACAGATACTCTTTATGGTTTCCTCCAAAAGATTACAATAGTAAACTTATTATAAATATAAACAATTACAAGTAATAATCTCAGTGAGGAAACAATGGGCGGCTTATCGCTAAAAACGATTTGTTCCAGGTAACCTTTGGATGGAGAGGAGTAATTATAAACAGGGATTTCTTGGTTGTCTGCCAATCCCCAATCACTAGTAAGTAGGTGTAATGAATGTTATTTATTTTAAAAGGAATTTTAACACACAACATGAAGTCTAGATGTTTTATTTCTTACTAGCTCGCTGGAAAATCGCAACCTCGTCTCGTCGTGACCAAGATAAATAGTATCTTATGCTTTTTTTTATAGAACTTAGAATGGTAAACAAGATGGCGGCCCACCAGATAGAAAGTGGCATGCGTCGCCTATAGACATGAACAGTACCATGGACATAACAGAGTATACTGTTTCGCCCATGATACCCCCCATGCGTTGCTATTCCTGAGGACTCGGGTGTTATTCCTCTGTACCCTGTACCCTCCATTTATCCCTACTGGACACACAACGGTAGGGGCAGATGAAAAAAAATGAAACTCTTACTCCCCAGGGGAGAAAGTTGTTAGGGACAAGTGGAACATTTTTTTTTAACGTCTGAAAAATGCTTTATGCAGACCCATACACCTTGTGGGAGGTGAATGGGTACTGTGGGAATCCCCCCGTAAGCTGGGGGTGTACCCACTAAAAACCAGACGATATACCCTCGAGGTGCCATATGTCGGAGACATGGGTTCGCTTTCGCACTCACCACATCTCCGACGGCAGCGACCCGCCCCCAGATGGTAAGAACAGGTCTCCTCTCTCAAGATAGGGTGGATGGCGTGCTCACCCTACCACTCGGAGGATGCGCCGGTATATTAGCACATCCCCGAGGACCATTGGGACAATACCTTCCCACAGGTATCACCCCGGCCCTAGTGGGGAAGGAGGAGGGGCGGAACTGGGCGCGCCCCTCCTTCTGCGTCTGACTCGTCTGCGGATTGACTTCTGCGACATGACGGCATCGCAGAAGGCGAGCATCGCTTCCCACGATCTCTCACTGCTCACCATCCGCCGAAGCACGGCGGGCAGCGAGAGAGAGAGTCGGTCCCCCCTACCGCAAACAAGATACGACGCTCATCGGCATACGCTGGGCACTCCACCAGCGTATGCTCCGCCGTGTCCTGGTCTGCTCCAAGGGACAAGTGGAACTGACCGTTTATTTTTATGCGTTTACGCATGGGTAATATGAGTATCATTCTGATATATATATATATATATATATATATATATATATATATATATATATATATATATATATATATATATAGATTGACAACCCTCCAGCCAAACGTGGCAGTTACTAGCAAAACTCCCCTCATGGGGAAGGCTTAAGTTCAGCATTGGACAGTTAACGGCTGAAATATTATAATAATATTCCTTATTGTATCAATATATAGATATTATAGTAACAATATATATATATATATATTGTTATGTATTACCCATCCCTATTACTGAATAAACTTATTAAGACGAGCCAGGTGTTCAGCGGAACTCGGTACAACTAATAAGGTTTCGCATCATTAATTTAATCTGCTGCATTTAGAGATATGAATTTACCCACAGTTTCCTGCTTATAGAATTTTAAATGTCATGGGCTGATTGATTGTAGTGTTTCATATATTAGCTGCTATATACATACATACATATATATCTGTCACGCCTGTCTCCCATTAGGGTAGGCAGAAACAATGGAACGCCAAATGCTTCGATTCAAACAAACCTATAATATATTCTGCTATATAATAATAATAATAATATACTTTATTACTCAGACTACAATTTGGTCCATTTTGTTAGTAACAGTTTTCTTACAAACTATGTTAGTAAAAAAGAAAAACAAATTAATTTAATTAAAAAACAATTCACTCAGATGTGAGCCAGCCGACTAGAACAGCATCTGAATGAAATGCCCAATTATAAGCGAGTCATATTTCTCGCCTATTACTTTTAGAATGCTGTCGGTGCTTGTCCCAACTCTGTGTGGCAATGATGCAGTTCTCTTTCTCCATATAGCGTAGTAATCTATGCGAGATTGAGCAAACATGCTAGAAGCTATATATTGTTGGATTCTGGCATAGAATGGGCCACCCCTTTCTTTCCCACGATTGTAAGAAAAGACTATGGATATGATAGAGGGAAAGGGCTCTAGTATCACTTTTAAGACATTACCAAAAGCCTAACTACGGTTGCCGAATCATCTGCCAAGCGTGGCAACTACTGGCAAAACTCCTCTTATGAGAAAGACCTATGTTCAGCAGTGGACAGTTAACGGCTGATATGATGGTGATGTATTAGCTATTGATCATCACTACATAGTATAAAACAAAGTCGCTGTCGCTGTCTGTCCGTCACTATGAATGCTTAAATCTTTAAAACTACGCAACGGATTTTGAAGCGGTTTCTTTTAATAGATAGAGTGATTCAAGAGGAAGGTTTATATGTATAATACATGCATAATATTGTAGAGGAACACTGATAAATTTGGAAGTTTCTAATGTGATGTCGTAAATAAACACATTTTTATACCCTTACATTGCAAACGCTGGCTGAATCCTATGAGATAGGTTAAAATAATGTCGGGGCGCAAATAATGCGGCGCTATTTATTATGAGTATTGCACCCGTGCGATTTCGGGGCAGGTCGCTAGTAGTATTATAACTCAATTAATTTCCAGCAAAAATACATGTTCATATCTGTCACGCCTGTCTCCCATTAGGGTAGGCAGAAATAATGGAACGCATAATGTGTATATCCAGCAAAAATCTATGGTCGGATTTAAAAAAATAAAATAATAGAAACAGCGTAGCGTTGGAAGGTTTAACATTGTTATTTTTATTTCACATTTCGATCTATTTTATTTGTTGAAAGTTGTACAAAGCCGTTATCAATATGGAGTTGGCAGATATTTCCAACAAACTGTAGTGTGGATTTTAGAATCAAAAGAGACTGCATATAGAGACTGCAGCCAGGGCCGTAGTGACTGTATCAGGGCCCTGGGGCAATGCATGTCTTGCTTACAAAATCACTTCTACATTTTTATAGATATAATAAATTGAAATGCGTTATAAAATTTACTGAAATATGACGATGATATGATATATGATGATAATATGACGATATGGGGGGGAAAGGATTGTTAGCAATGGAGTTTGACAGCCCCATTGCTAGCAATATACCCTATTAGGTCGACCTCCACGTGGTTCCCCCTGGAAACCATCGTGAACAATTCTTGTTTAATTCGTCACGATGGGCTAACTGATCTGCTTCATACTCCCCTATCATCCTTCACTGGTGCCCCGCCGGTGTATACCGATAGCGCGGGTCAGGGTTACATTCCAATATCATCTATTAAAAAAAAAAAATTACTATATGATAATATAAAAAAAAAATAACAGGGCAATAATATATATTTACATTCAGAGTTTATTAGAAACAAATCTTAGAATTGTCATTTAAAATTTGTCATTGACAAATAATTGACATATCAAACGTTTTCTATACACTAGCCTGCTATGAATTGAGAAAAATAGCAACTGATGGTGTATCTTTCGTCCTCTTATTACTAATTACATTTGCATAAAAAGAAAGGAGGCAACCATATGATTTACAGTTTTTATTTTATCATTCCTTCTATGTAATTCCTTGTTCTTAGATTCATCGCGCGGCTGAGACGCCCTCTGTGTGACACTATACTACTAGAGATTGCCTCGTTGTTGCTCTGTAAATTTGATTATATATCTATTTAAGTAAAAATAAAAAAATAAAAGATAAATATATTAAATATTATAACTGCCCCAACCGGAGTATTTATTATGTGTCAAATATTAGTAAAACCAGTTATTTCATATTTATTTAAATTTAAAAACTAACTCGACAAATTTTGATGAAATGTCTATGACGTCAATCTGAAAGTACATCCTTTCAGATGAAAAAAATAATTTTCCAAATCGGTTCACTAACGACGCAGTTCTGAGGTAACAAACATAAAAGAAATACGATGGACTCGAGCTCGTTTACACTTTGGGTTTGCTGGAAGAGAACTCATGCAGAGTTAAGCTCACCTTTGTAGGTATATTTGCTTTATATTCTCCCATTTCTTTATGTATTATTCGTGTGTACACACTGTGTATAATGTATAAAAATAAATAATAAAAATCGAATTGAGAACTTGCTTCTTTTTTTAAGAGTGTTAAAAGTGTTTTATTTAATTTTCGAACGCATACAAAGTTAAAGTGTTGGGAGGAACATTAGGTGTCTGGGAATCAGACTAGCTCCTCGATACTGGCTTACTATGTAGAAATGGATCACCCAAGAATAAAGAAGAGAATAAGAAATGAAATTAAATGAAATTAATTTATTTTGTTAGAATGTAGGTAGTTTTAGATGGAAGTGGTTTACATTTCCCATATACATTCTGTCGGCGTGCAAATTATTAAAATTATGAGAAATTTACATACCATATATTCTAAATTTTTTATTCATTAGTTATATATAATACACACATAATTTATTACAGTAAATAGAAAACTTAACTAAGTGCAAAAATAGACAGATACTCTTTATTGTTTCCTCCAAAAGATTACAATAGTAAACTTATTATAAATATAAACAATTACAAGAAATAATTACAATGAGAAAACAATGGGCGACCTTATCGCTAAAAGCGATCTCTTCCAGGTAACTTTTAGATGGAGAAAAATACAAATTACATCTCCAGTGTAGGTTATTCTTATTCTTATTCTGAATTAGGCACACCAACAGTATACATATTATACATAAATTAAAAAACATTTCTTATGTAGTATGCTGATATGCATACCTATAGCAGGCGTACACAACATTCACTACAGATTATATGTATATAAATGTCATAATATAATTAATATAATAAATTAAATTTACAATTACATATTCTTTATTACAAAATTCAATTAAATATAAAACAAGACTGGACAATATCATCAAATCTACATGGTCTTCAGTATCTTACCGCGAAACACTGCCAACGAGTCATGGCATACGTCAATATCCGGATTATTTATATATATTTAGGTTGTCAAGTACATTTGTTTATTATTTTTATTAAACATTCATTAATGGTATAAAAACCATTAC